GAAATGCAAGAGTATTGTAGTCATTGACTTCCCAGTTTTACATCGCGTCCACGGTTGCCGGCAACTCTTGTTGGGGTTCACACCCATCAACTATATCGCTGGAATTTCTGCATCATATGCCAAAGAAACTCTTTTCGCAGTCAACAGTATCGATGCCCATTGCTCCATAATACATAAATAGCAGAGCACCAGCATCAGATCGTCTTGCTTACTGCCGATGCAAATGAAAGGGGCTTAAGTGTGTACATAGACAGCAGAGCAGGTAGAAACTGCAGCAGCCTATATCGTGGCATCAACATTCAACATGCAACTGCAACATTTGATTGTGATTGCTCGCTGTCAGATTCAGTGAGTAGAGGATTCTTCTGGAAGTTATTTCTCAGCTGACCGCAGGCAGCACTTGCATCCAAGCCCCTTGTTTGACGTATACTAACAGTTACTTTATGGGACTCCAGTGCACCTGCAAATGCTAACACCTGCAAAATGGAGTAAAGGATTTATATATATGCTCAAGAAATTAAAGGCTTTATATTGGTTGAAAACAAGGGGAAAATGACAATTAATGATCAGTGTACTTCTTTCTTGTATGGCCGCCGGTACTCAGAACCCTCTATTGGATTGAAAGGTATGAGATTGACATGATAATTACGTCCCCACTCATGCAGCAGCTCAGCCAGTTCTACTGCCTGCTCTACTGAATCATTGACTCCAGCTGCATTAAAAAAAAAAAGAAAAAGAAATTGGATTACAGCTTTAAACAAAATTTGAAGTCCCTAAAGTAGGCATGAAAGGAAAACTTCAGTACCTAGAAGTGCATATTCAAAGGAGACTCGTCTCCTGGTTTCAACAAAGTAATCCCGGCAATCCTTCATGATTGCATCAAGGGGGTAAGATTTTGCACTAGGCACAATCATTTCCCTGAGTTCCTGGTTTGGAGCATGCAAGCTGATGTACAAGAAAGTGAGTTAAGTTAACATTTTAAAATAAAGGCATAAGAATCAGCCAAAAACAATAACATTCAGATATCAAATTGTCCCTGTTAAATAAAGCAGACCTGACAGCCAATGTTGACTGAAGCTTGTGAGAAGCCAGCTTTTTTATGGTGTTTGGAACTCCCACAGTGGAAATTGTAATCATTCTTTGCCCAATCTGCACATCCTGGAAGAAAAAACAAGGGAACCAAACATCATAAATGAGCTTAAATTGAAAGCCACATACAGGCATTTACCACAGCATTTCAACTGTTTTGGGAGACTTTTGAAAATGAGAATTCCACATTGGAATTAGCTTGACATAATCAAGGTATAATCCACACGGGAGTGACACGACAGAATTCTGTCTGGCAGCATGTATCTCAAATCAGACCTCCATGCTTTTATACTTCACAAAACCAATGATAAGCAAATCTCATCTGACTTGTTTTGTTTGTCAGATCCAGTTTACTATGAAGTATTATATGAGCACCAGGCATTAGAAGAAATATGGTTTTTTTTTTTTTTAAACAGAGTAGCAGTAACAAAGCTATCCTTCATCAGGAAGAAAAAGAAGAAGAGAAATCAACTGCATTTTATATCACAACACGAAATATCTTTACACAATTATATGCTGTGTGAGACAAAGTTCCAACTTGCAAAAAATGCACCTTATTCAAGCATTGATGTGTGTCAAGTACTGACTTCAAGTTCAACATGGGCTCCCCCATTCCCATGAACACTACATTTGTCACCCTGCGCGTGAAGATATCCTCAATAGCCAATACCTGTTCACATAAATATCTTTACATATAGTTCCAAGAGTATAATGTCTTAATGTCTTCATTATACATTAAAAGAAAAAAAGCAACTGTTTTCCATAGAGTAGCAATCCCATTTTTTTTATTAAGAGTTTGAAAAGAATGTATATGCAAAAAGTTAAAAAAACGAATCATAAACCTGCTCAATAATTTCATGCCTCCGAAGATTCCTTGAATACCCTCCCTTTCCAGTGGCACAAAACGAACAGCGCAATGGACAGCCTACCTGTATACCAGAGAAAAACAAGAACAAAAGAGTCAAAAGTATTGCCCGAGATAACAACAGAAATACATTACTGAGGGCACAAAATCTCCCCCCACTTTCCTAACAACAACCAAGAAACATATATAAAGAAAATCACCTGTGATGACACGCATGCAGTAAGTCGCATTGAACCCTTCGCATCTTCAACTGGTATACCAACTGTTTCAATCAATCTGTTGTCCTCCAACTTTATCAATAACTGAAAAGACCAACAGAAAAGCATGCATGATTAACAGAATACAGATCAACAACAAAACCACCATTAGTACAGCAGCCAATTCTCTAGTTTACTTGAAAAAAACTAAGCTCCAAAAGGAACTCATGATCAGAGTTAAATACAGAAAATCCAGTCAAAATACAATTTCATCAAGTAAAACAACAACGCAACAGCCTCAAGTAACTTAAACTCGATGTAAATATTAGTTATGCTACTTGCTTTTTGTTTTTGTAATATCGCTAAAAATGTAAAAAGCATGATGAAAAACGAGCAAATAACTTAAACCTAAGGATCTACATGTTTAAATATAATTATAACCAAAAAAAAATTGTAATTTTAACTTTTAACTCATTTGATTTCGACCCCAAACACGCTTTTTCCCTTTATACATTCAAATAACAAGTTAGCAACCAAACATAACCTTCATGAGTTGAGTAGAAAAAGATTTCTTCTTTTTTCCTTTTATTACCTTAACAGTGCCATCGGCTGCAGTAACAGTGTGGTAAATAGGAGACCTCCCAATCCTCCATCCAGCCTCCATAAGATCATTTCTAAATGCTTGTGGCACTTTTATTATACATTATAACCACCATAAGAAAAAGGGAAAACAGTCTCAAAAATAAGCTAAAAATTTAAAATAAATAACTAAAAAAGAACAAAATAAAAAGTATATATAAAATAATTCTCACAGTGACTAAAATCCTGAATCTCTTTTGCCTTTCTCTTGTAAATTAAATGGTGTAGCTGCTTTCCTCTGTACCTTTGCTATATAATTAACAAAGAAACAAAAAATAAATGAAGTACAATTATAATTTTTGAAGTGAAATGAAGAATATACATATATATTATACTATAAATTTAAGCTGTTAAACCTGGCCGAAATCGACGGCGAGTTGCTGAAGGTCTTGCTCAGACATGCCGAGGAGGACGCGGGGGTCTACGTGAGGGGTACGTGAAGAGGAGGACGAGGAAGGGGAAGAGACGGTGAGGTTACGCGACGGCGTGACGCCGGTGGTGGCGCCGGAGACAGTGAAGGAACGAGGGCGGATCGCACGTGTCAGAGGGACGGAGCACACGTGCTGAAGCGTGGACATTTTGGTTGTAATCATCACACTCTCTTCTCCTGAGCCTTTCGCCTGTTGATGACCGACGAGCCTAAACCTCTGCTGCAGCCTCGTGCACTGGCTAAAACCTCAGCTTTTGGTGCAAAAAGACGAAATTACCCCCCCTACAACGTTATTTTACGGGCTTGGGAAAATTCATATGGGCCCTACCATGTCCTCTGTCCAAAAGAAATTTGGGCCCAATTGGGTTAACCTTTTGGGCCTAATAAGATAAAGAAAATTGGCTAATGAATACCAACTTTTGAAGAATCTTTCAATTTAGTCCAGCATGACAAAGTCTTCCAAATTTTTGAAAGGCAATCATGTCAATTTAAAATTCTTCACAATCTTCTTATATTCATATGATCGTAACAACTTGCATTAATAAGAGACACGCTTCAAACCTAAGTGTCGGGTATGGTAACAAATCATACACAATGCATGTAATTTTTCGTGTATGTTAATTTTAAATGCCAAATATGGGCACATATCAAACATAGATGTATTCATTTTTTTTTTACATGTTCATTTTAAATTGTTCTGATAAGTGTCCCAGACTAGTACTTAAAAGGAAAAAATGACAAATGGAGCCAGATTGCTTAATCCAGCCAAGTTTGTAGGATTTCTTCACATGAATTATATAAGCAAAGAGCACCAAAAAAAAAATTAAGACCCATTTTTCAGACATGTGGAGTTGTGGGAATTATTGGTACTATAAAATTAAGGTACTCATTTTGCTATTCTTTCTCTACCCTTTGACTCTGTCTATTGAAAAAGATTTAAGGTTATTGCCAGAATCAATTTTCTATATTTTTCATATTAATCCTTGTCTTGTAAAGTTGAATGAAAGTGGTTGAGCTCCATCTGGGCAGATTTTGAGTTTTATGCAATGGAAAGTTGACCATGTCATGTGCATTTGTAAGCTTCCATTGGTTATGACAGTGAGACAACTTGCCTCTTTTAATCTGCCATACCTGTTAGAATCCTCCTAAGAAGCATCAAAATCTTTTGTTTAATGAAGTTGGCATCATGAACAAGCTGTGACAATGTGAGAATATCTGATTGAATCCTTTGGTGAAACCAAATTGCAGACCCTTCAATAGTTATGGCTTAGAGACAATGCATTGCATCCACTTTCTCCTCTGCTTTCTCTGCCTTTTTTATTCAGAAAGGTGCTTGGGGTTGGGGGCAAAATGTTACTTAGACTCGAGGGAGTGTCAGATACAGATATGTATCCCCAATGGATAAGTTTTTTTATATATTTGAAAGGTCAGACCTCTACATCCATGTATTGGACACGGATACTATGTACAAGTGAACATCTTTAGACTTCAGGTATTAGAAAGATTATACTTCCAAATAAGTTGCTTACTGTTATCACTTTCGAATAACCATTTAGGATACTCATTAAGCAAAGAAAAGACTGATGACTTTAGAGTTCAGACCATTTACTGCTGCATTCACATTCAATTCAACAAGAATTCCAACAAGTATTAGAGGCAATATGAAGCCTTTGTCGGCTATGCCTACAGGCCTTGAGACCCTAGTGCATCAAGCACCCTCCTGCTAATACAACTCCCCAACATTTGTATTTTACAACTAATGCAACACAAAAAGAAAATGTGTCAAAATGATGAACTCGGATTTTATTGAATTCAAGAACTGTACAGTGATCAATAGCCGGAATATATGCTTGATATCATCTGTAATTATAAAAGCATGCATCAGATATTTTCCTCTTTATGTAGGTAGTGGAGAAGCTGAAGGCTGGGGACATGAGCCATTGATTCCATTGCAGACATCATTGGTATTTTTACTTTGAAATTTGGCAGCATTCCTTGAATTCTGATGAGAAGTTTGGACGGATGCATTTCGAGGGCCCCCTTTGTCACCGGTGTCTTGGAGTTGCTCTAGCACTTTCACTACTGCATTCATATTAGGTCTAAGCTTGGGTTCTATAGATAGGCATTGCAGTGCGACATAAGCAACTTTTAATGCCACATCCAGCGTGTATTGGCCTTCAATACGAGCATCCATAACTTGGAGAATCTTGCGTTTGCTGGTAAGGTAAGGCTTGGCCCATTCAACTAAATTTTGTTCTCTAGATGGTCTGTTCTTGTCCACTGCTCGCTTGCCGGTTAACATTTCAAGAAGAACAACCCCAAAACTATACACATCACTTCTGGCTGTCAGATGACCTTCATAAGAATAAATTAAGTTAAAATATGATTAGGGAAATTGCAATTTATAATTATATCGGATATAAAGTTATTCCATTGAGGCATAAACATTTGGTCTGGAGGATGATATGTTTATGGCTTGCATAAAGCCTTTCTGCAAAAAACTGGACATCGGCTATGTTACATTGACTCAGGTTGGGGTGCCAGACATATGGGTATGTGTCCATGGATTGGGTAATACTAATAGATCTTCCCTTCCATCGACACAAGCACATTAGGATAAATAAAAAGTTGGTTATGAAAATGGTTGACGGTGGCAAGTTAAAAGATACCTGTTGCCATGTACTCAGGAGCTGCATAACCATAGGTGCCCATGACCCTTGTAGAGACATGGCTTTTATCACCAGTTGGTCCATCTTTGGCCAGCCCAAAGTCAGAGAGTTTTGCATTGAAGTTCTGTCATTTTACATTTGGAAATTAAAAGAAATGAGAGAGCTGCATAAAAAATCCAAGATAGGAGCCATGAATTCCCATAATTAAGCATGTTTTGCATACCGAATCGAGCAAGACATTTGAAGTTTTGAAGTCTCTGTATATCACTTTCGCCTCATCAGAATGTAGGAATGCTAGGCCCTTGGCAGCACCAAGAGCAACCTTCATCCGGAGGTTCCAAGAAAGTGGTTGAAAATAAGAATTTCCTGTTCAAAGTTGGAGGTCTTGGATAAGATCCTTGAAATGAAAAGGATTGAACTGGCTAAAGAAAGGAAGATGTAAAGGCATAACTCACTTCTAAAAAGATGATTCTCCAAGCTGCCCTTGGGCATGAATTCATACACCAGAAGCCGATGATCATCCTCTAAGCAGTAACCGACCAATTTGACAAGATTAGGATGGTACAGCTGCCCCAGGTAGTTGATTTCTGCCTGCAACCCACATGCATCATTGAATTAATAAATGATGCCATCCAACAAATAGTACTACTTTTCCAGCGACAAAGATTTGAAGTAGAGCCGAGAGAAGGGAGGAAACTGGGGAAGAAAAGATTACTCACCAACCATTCCTGGTGGCCCTGAAAACCCTCCTGGTTAAGCCTCTTGACAGCAATAACCATGCCAGTGCCAGGCTTGGCAGCTGTAAGTGAATTCTCATCAACCCACCCCTTAAAGACACAACCAAAACCACCTTCACCCAAAACACTATCCGGACGGAAGTTCCTGGTGGCTGTTCTCAGTTCACTGAAGCTGAAGCTCTTCATATTGGAAGACTGCAAGATCTCTCCCTCAGTTCTAGTCCCTGAAACAGATGAGATCCTGCTGCTAGAACCACTCATTCCATTCCCATATTTCCCGCCACCATGCCCTGAATTAGCCCCTGCCACATATCAACACCAGGAAAAAAATCTTTGAATTCGAACTTATCCACCCTTATCTAATAAACCCCTAAATCTAATGTTACTTTCGAGAAACCAACATAAATGAAAGGGATCTCAAAAAAGGCAAGCTAAAACTTAACAGCAGCTGCTAAAAGTGCAGAACATGTTCCAAAAAATGCTTTACAGGGAAAGACAAAGTGATCAAAATATAGAAAAGAAAGCATACCATTGTGAAGAGGACTCTCAGCTTTAATTCTAGCACTGAAGCAAGACCCCATGAAGACAAAAACTTAGGGTCTGGTTTCCCACCTCCAACACAAGAAGGAGAACAAATACAGAGAACAATTGATGCAAGCAACCCAAGCCCGTGAAACAGAGAAAAAGAAAGGGTCTCAAGTGTGAAAGCAAAACTTTTTATACGTAGCCGAATGCCTCCCTCTTTGTCTCTCTCTGTGTCAGCTGTCACCCACGAGAATAATTATCCTTTTGAAAACTTTGACTGATCAATAAAAAAGCAAAACCAAAGGAAAAAATGAATGAGAAAACAAAGATTGAGTAAGAGCGAAGCAGCATGAGAAACAGTTGGTCAGGGCCAGGCAGGTTTTGGCTTTATATGTTTTTGGTTTATCTTTCAAAGAAAGTTCCATCTTAAAAAAGACAAGCTTCGGGAAAGACAGAAATGAAAGGGTTGACTTGTCTTCAAGCTACATGTTTCATGCACCTCCATATTAATCTGCCAGTAGGAAGCTGTTGTTGTTGTTGCATTATTAAAGCTTTCATGGCTCTGGGGCTTTTCATCCCTTAGATTTAATGACCAGTTGCCCTTCATTTCCTTTCTTGTTTTTGGGGCTTTCATACACATGAAAGAGACAGCCATGGAAGGGCTGCTGTATATAGAAATTTTCTAATCAACCCATTGGATTATCATCCCTGATTTGTCAATGTTTATTATTTGTAGCCGGCAAAGGGTCACCTAGGGACTGGTCATCAGCCACAGCTTGGTGGGGGTAAAGGGTCCTACAATAGATAATTAAACAAACCTTTTTTTTTTCTCATTAAGGAACTAATTTTAATATCTTAAACAAAATGTTTCTATTTTATTTCTAGATATCGGATATAAATTCGTATCTAACACATATTATATCATCATCTAAGATGTCAAAGTAGTTATAAAGAGATAAAAATTAAAAAAAAATCTATTTATAGAGTCAATTACCTGTTGAGAAAAATGTTAGACATACCCAACAATTCATAGTATTTGGAAACCTTCAATTAATACATATAACAAGTTTCTGGAAGGAAGTTTAGAAAATATGTATTTATATGTCTAATATTGCTGCCGAAATACTTCTTTTATTTTTTTCAAAGGTCAAAAAAGTTCGTTGAGAAAGTAGTAATTGTTTAGTAGGTTTAATGTCATTTTCTAATATAAATCTAATTTCAAAGCACTAAGGTAATATTCAATTCAAATAATTAAAAATCCACAACTTGCTTATAAATCAAATACATTGAACAAATATAACCAAAAAAAATATAAACTTATTATATAATAATAACTAAAAAAGTAAACACTAATTATACAAAATTATATCATTAAAATATCACATTCACATGTAAATAGACACTCGTTAACATTTATCTTCAACTCGAACGGTCGAGGTCAATAAAAAAATAATTAATAAATTTTAAAAAAAAAATAAAGAAAAATAGAATCAATGTATTGTATTGCAAATTGGAGATGGTGATTGAGAAATCAGAGATCAGGGAATGAACACATTAAATAAATGCAACTAGAAAAGAGGAGAAAATATTTTCACGTGAGACTTTCTTGACTTTTCCTACCAGACTTCAATTTTGACTTTGATTTTCTTTTTCTTCTGTTTTTTTTTAAGATTTTTTTAATTCCTAAAAAGCATTAGAGAAGAACGTGATCGTGATGGAAGATTCACGTACGACTCTTGTCATGTTGTAACACCCTTGTTATTATTATTATTATTATTATTACTACTACTACTATTTTTTTAATTTATTTCTTCTTTTCAAATCATTGATGATGAAATAAGTAACTATCAAATTGTTTAATTTCTTTGTTAGCTATTTGCCATATAAAGTCAGTCACCAATCCATGGTTATCAATATTATATATGAACCAATATATTATATTATTTTGATAATAAATCACACTGATCTTACAAATGGTTGGACATTAAAATTTGAAATCGAACAATTTCTACATCCCACCCGTGACAAAAAAATCTCAATCCGCAGTTTGAAAAATAAGTTTTCCTTCTTAAATATTTGAAAAAAATTAAATATATATAAATATTTAAATCATTAATTAATACATGATTCCCTGTCTTGATAACAAAATTAGAATTCCTTTCTCCCATTAAAAAAAAAAACTCAAAAAGAAATAAATAAGTTGATCGCTGTACAATGACAGGACGAGGCCTAGTATTCTTTTAGATATTTTCCATTAATTTCGTTACTTTTTTATCTAAAAAAATCGATGAAATTGAAATCAGATGCAGCAACAAAATTTAACATAACCCAAAGTATAATGACAAATTCGATGTTAATCCTGAAACATGTCTAACAATCTCACGTGCAACTCTAATATCTATGGCCAGCGGTTCCATACCAACCATGGATTGTTCACTAGTCCTACTCGTGGTGTTTCACCTGCTGACCAAAACCCAATCAGAAGGTGTGAGCTTACTTCAGCTCACAACAGTCAACAAGGAAAGGCATCACTGACCTTGACAGAAAGCAAAACCCAATCAATTGCTGTATAAACTGCTTTGTACTGAGCCAAATTGCATTCAGATTACTTAAAAAGACTTATATTTCTTCTCTCAATAATCAAGTACATGTACAACCTTTTCATCCCAGAAAGACTCACCTCGTCCACTCATGTAGGACGTCAATATTCAGTGTCTGTGCAGGTAAAAGTTATCAATAGAAAGGCTGTAGAAGCTAGCACACTGAAGGGAAACAAAGATCTCTGTCACGCTCAAATCCGAACTAACCGATAATGCAGAAAATTCTAAAGGGGGTTAAGTGTCTGGATGCATAACCTGAGGGGACTACTGATCGACAAATGATAGTCCAAAGACATGTTTAAAATTTTAAACAGAAACCACATGTTGTGGCAAGGATGCATTACTATGTAAGACTGACTAATGAAATAATTCTTCACAATCCTGTCGAAGCTTTCTATTAAGATCCCTTTATTGCTCTACTTACCGGCCAAATGAGACAACAATATATAGAAGAGCAAATATGCATGGCGAAGACAGTAAAACTTACTCTACATAAAATCCAATTTGGGAAATCCGATAAAAGTACATTTAAAGTTGTATGTACAGATTCTATACCTCCCCAAAAAAAACCTCTTCCAACTCACCTAACTTCTGTCAAAAGCTTGAGCTGGAATAGCAACCTTCCAAGTACCAACCACCCACACAGGCCCATAGGCCAAAACAACATCTGCCCTGTTTGATACATTTGCTGCCATTGGAAAATTAAACAAGAAATCAGCAAGATGGTTCTTGCAGTACCAAACAAAATTCCAAGTAGGAGCTGGTGCAGTCCTCAAAACTTGTTACAGTTAGGGTTTATACGCATTCATTTGAATCTCAAAGTTAACACTTACAATTGGCGCAGCACATGATTTCCAACACCAAAAAGTGAATGCAAATAAGAATGTGTTCAGTCCTTAAATAGTTACTGTAACAGTAAAAGCATAGTGCAATGGAAATTTAACAGCACTCACATGAGAATGTACCAATATCCAGGGGTGTAACTACTTTGATCTTTAACAAGGAAATCCATATAGCAAGCCCATTGATATAATAATATGCAATCAAGTCCAAAGCAAAAAGACAACAACATTCAACCACCTAGGAGCGGAGCATGGACATAAGGTATATTGAGGTAGATAGTTTAATCCTGATAGGCATGGGGAGCAGTGTATTATGGAGGCCCAAACAAACCAACCTACCACGCACCATGGATGGCTTTTCCTTGGAGAAGCTCATGTCCACTAAACATGCATACTTGACCACCATTTTTACTTCTTTTTCTACTTTTGATGAAGAGGGTGTGTGAAATCATCCACTGTTATAACACTCTTCTTCAGCATATCTTCAATCCTGTCATTTCAATTAAATTCATGAGTCAATCACTAATGTTGCCTTTCTATAAAGCAAATCCAATCGAACAAAAACATACGTACTCTGCCCATTTTCCACATTGTGAGGCTCTTCTTCTTTATCTGTTTCAGTTACCCTTCCATTTTCTACTTTTTATAAACAAAAAATGGAAGCACACAAATCAAATGCCAACCCAGCAACCCTGCTTGCATTTGCTATATGCTGTTCACAACTTCAGATTGGAATCAGATCTATTTTCAAAACATATAAATTACCTTTAAGAAAAGAAAAAAAATCAAGTTCAGAACAGAAATATGGCTTAAGTATTAACTTTGCAAGGATCCAGGACATCCACGTCTTTCTAAACCAAAATGCAATCTCAGGTTGAGGCTTGAGATAGCAAGGAAGTTCCCATTAGGGAGAATAATGTTACCAGTAACACCTAAGACATGAAAACAATACATCATCTTCCTCATCAAAAAGTAATAAATAACATAAAAACATCATCAAACACTTAATGCCTTTATAAGAAAGAAACTTCATCATATGGTTCTGGAACTACAGCATCTGATTCCTCAATTTGTCTTTTAGTTACACCAATTCCTCGACCAAGCATCATAGCAGATTTCAAGCCACCATCCATATCAAATTGACTAAAGGATTAGTGAATATGAGGCCAAGTAAAACGAGCCAATGCATCAGAATGCACCAAACTAAAACAACGTGCTCTTTTTAACTATAACAACATCGATGAGAAACACCACAATCAGTAAAATCTGAAAATAATGGACTTACGAATCCTGCCCTTCTCAGACCTGAAAAACAAAAGAAAAGAAAAGAAACAAGAAAAAAAAAACTTGCTGTTAATCACCAGTATTAAATGAATATCAACAGAGGTTAACCAATGTATGCACATAAGAAAATCAGCCTTTATCAGCTAGTACTTTTGAGAAAGTTCCTACCACAATGAAGGTGAGAGCTAGTAATGGCTCTATCTCTGCGATCAGAAATTAAAAATAAAATAGCATAAGACTCTCAGCAAAGAGAATAGGAAAAAAACTTCTGCAACATCAGAATGAGTAACCAAATAAGCAAATGGCGAGAATGGAGACTTAAGTACACCAAAAATATAAAAAGGATCATTATAAGAAGAGCTCATGAGCCTACAACATCACAATTTTACAGTCAGAATGAAAATCAAAGAGAATTGACTTATGGAGGTCATAAGCTCTCATTCGATGGACAGAGGGCTAAACCAAGTATCTGGAAATAAAACAAAGGAATCAGTCTTTGACATATTAGATAACAAAACTTATCCGATCTACATAAAAATGTTCTTATTTTACATCCTGATGCATTTATTTAGTCCAAATGAATATATTTGGCATCAAATTACTTCACCTGGGTCTATGTCATTAATCAAGTATTTGCTACCAAATTACTCTGCCTCAGTCAAATAAACATCATTAATTAATTAACCATACCAACTTTATAGCATCATTATGTTTTATGTCTTCAAAACACAATATCACTAAAATTATGGCCATTTGTAGTTAATGACTATTAATTGGTTTCATACCCCGAGAAGAATGCAGACTCTTGAATCATACGAAGAGGAACGCCATCATGAAGATTGACTTTCAGGTCTGAGGGACAAGTCCGACTACAAATCCAACAATCTATACAAGAAAAGAGCGTGTAGTTTACCAGTCCATTTGTTGTACCAAAGATAAAGTCAGGACCAATTCAGCTTGCCTTTAATTAATACGTTTGATTCCATACTTTATGATGTACTCCTATTTGACTTTCATAATTAGAATGACTACACAGTTTTTTTTATCAGAAAATAACAAAACCAACACCTTTGCAACAAGTCCAAAGTAAGTGGTAAAGGCATATGTTGCAGGAAAAAAAAATTGAACGAGAAAAAAGAACATTAACAATGCAGATCTACAGAGAAGTCTTCCATAGAAAGAAAGGTTATGACTATAGTAAGTTGGATTTGAGTTCTTACATCTACAAAACTTGGTATCTGCCAGGTTGAGTCCCACCAGGAAGTTGTAAGGACTGGTGTGAGAAGTCTTCCAAGACACGTTTTAGTTCTGCCTTAGCTCTCTTAACAGATAGCTCAGTAGGTCCCTCAATGAACAAGTAAAGCTTCCGTTCTCCTGGTCCCGGGATCCGACCAGGTGGGAAAAATTGGCCCCTGGTAGTAATGGCAGCTCCAGTCCATTCTGATATTGGGCCCAAAGTTTCCTTGTGGGTAACTTTCCATCGAGCATTCTGGGGGAATTCATTTATCTCCAACTCAGCTTCATAATGTTCAGGCATTGCATCAGCTTGAATCTTTGCTAAGTTATGCTGCAAATTGAGAGCAGCTTGCAGTGCAGCTTTGCGAGCAGCCTCTTCATTTGCAAGACCAGGCAGCCCACTCCCAGGCACAACTGCTGCAGTACCTGGCATCGAGACACCGAGTACACCAGGAAGAGAAACAGGCAATACAGCATTGGGAAGCAGTTGGGCAGATGATAGAGGGTTCTGCATCAAAGCGGTACCAGCTTTTGAGGCAGCAGCCATGGCAGCTATCTGAGCAAGTGCAGTCT